AAAAAAAAAAAAAAAAAAAAAATAGTTGTTCTGTTTAAAGTAAGCCAGTAACAATAACAAAATAAAACAAAGATTTTTAACAAATTGTAACTTAGTAAACATTCTTTTGATAATTACCTGCTCTCATTTCTTAGGGTTCAAAATATAAATCTTAAAAGTTCAAAATAAAAATCCTTCTTCTAAAGATTTGTATTTTATTTTATTTTTTAGAGACAGGGATTTGCTCTGTTGCCTAGGTTAGAGTGCAGTGGCACAACCATAGCTCACTGGAGTCTTGAGCTCCTGGGCTCAAGGGGTCCTCCCACCTTAGCTTCTTGAGTAGCTAGGGCTACACGCATGTGCCATCATTTCTGGGTAATTTTTTTTGTTGTTGCTGTTGTTGAGACAGAGTCTCGCTCTGTTGCCCAGGCTGGAGTGCAGTGGTGTGATCCTGGCTCACTGTAACCTCCATCTCCCAGGTTCAAGCGATTCTCCTGCTTCAGCCTCCTGAGTAGCTGGGATTACAGGCATGCATCACCACGCCCGGCTAATTTTGCATATTTTTAGTAGAGATGGGGTTTCATCATGTTGGCCAGGCTGGTCTTGAACACCTGACCTCAAGTGATCAGCCCACCTCAGCCTCCCAAAGTGCTGGGATTACAGGCATGAGCCACAGCTCCCAGCCTCTGCTGGATAATTTTTTAAAGTTTTCTGTAAGGACAGGATCGCACTATGTTGCCCAAGCTGGTCTTGATCTCCTGGCCTCAAGGGATCCTACTGCCTAGGCCCATGAAAGAGGTGAATTACAGACGTGAGCCACAGCACCTGGCCTAAAGATTTGCATTTTAGATTATATATCCTTTTAGTTGATATCAGTGGACACCAATTATTTTGCCCCAGCTCCCGTTGCCAATTTCCCATAAAAATGAGATTTAGTAATTAGAAGGTAACAAAAAGATGTACTAATCTTTGCTTTATAAATATTGTTTTATTTATTTATTTACTTTTTAATTTTTTTTGGAGACGGAATCTCACTCTGTCGCCCAGGCTGGAGTGCAATGGTGCAATCTCGGCTCACTGCAACCTCTGCCTCTCAGATTCAAGCAATTCTCCTGCCTCAGCCTCCCGAGTAGCTGGGATTACAGGCATGTGCCACCATCCCTGGCTAATTTTTGTATTATTAGTAGAGATAGGGTTTCACCATGTTAGCTAGGCTCATCTCAAACTCCTGACCTAAGGTGATCCGCCTACCTTGGCCTCCCAAAGTGCTGGGATTACAGGCGTGAGCCACCATGCCAGGCCAAATATTGTTTTAAAAGGACAAAGAAATATGTCACATTTATTAAATAAATTGCCTCAAAGTAATATTCAACTTATACTTAATATTATAGTATCAAAACTGCAAAAACAGAAGCTCTGCGAAAACTATTAAATGAAATTCTCAGTTTCCTTGAAGGATCTCCAAGGAGTGTAACATTTGATGTGCTGAATTTGTGACTGTTTTAATTACCAAGTATGACCCTTAGAACCCCCAAGTGCTTCTGAGGTAGCAGGGCAGGGTAGCAGGGGGCACATATGAATGAATATTCACACAATGAAATTATGAGCATAAAAACTTGGGAAACCACATTTCCAAGAAAGGAGAGCAGAATGAGAAGAATGCCTGAGAAAGTATTTGCTTGATGGAAAAAACCACAGACATTATCAACAAATCTTTACCACACACGATGACCTTTACTTAACAAAAACCAAGAAAATATCACAACCTTGCAATTGTTATAGATTTAAGCAGCTTTTGTGACTTTCAAGTAAAAAGGAATTCATGGTATCTTTGTTCAGAATTCAGCAGAGGTCTAAATCACTTCAAAAGCCAATTTATCATTTTGTTTGTCTGTCTTCGGCTCACTGCAACCTCCACCTCTTGGGTTCAAGCAATTCTCCTGTCTCAGCCTCCCAAGAAGCTAGGATTACAGGCACCTGCCACCACACCCAGCTAATTTTTGTATTTTTAGTAGAGACGGTGTTTCACCATGTTGGTCAGGCTGGTCTCAAACTCCTGACCTCAGGTGATCCACCCACCTCGGCCTCCCCAAAGTGCTAGGACTACAAGTGTGAGCCACCGTGCCCAGTCAAGCCAATCTATCTTTAAAATATATATATTTTTTGAGACAGAGTCTTGCTCTGTTGCCCAGTCTGGAGCACAACGGTGTAATCTCGGCTCACTGCAACCTCGGCCTACCAGGTTCGAGCGATTCCACCACCTCAGCCTTCCACGCAACTGCGATTATAGGCGCACGCCACCATGCCTGGCCTCTTTAAAATATTCTTAAAGATAGCCTTTTACAACTTCCCACGGGTAGGTAGTTGAGGTCAGATTGTAGGACAATCTACCGCTACTACCTCTCTAAAAAGCTCCTGCTACTCTGAGGGCCATCTTCAGAATGGAGTGCCCAAACTAAATAATTATTTTTCTGGCTTCATTTACTCTAAGAAATTTATTTAAGAACCTCAAAATTAATAAGCTTGAAAGTTTCCCTCTTTTTTATGGTGGCCAATATGAAATGCTCAGCTCCATCTGTGAAGGCAAATGCAACAGAAATATTTTTCTCAAAAGAGAGAAATAGTATGAAAAGGTTTGCTGATGGCCATTTAAACACTTCTGCTATAACAAACACATTGAGATCCTCATTTTACCTCTCACTTTTCAGTTTTAGCCCCTGACTTCATTAAAATCAAGGTGAAAAATACTCTGTACTCACTCTGGCATTCTATGAATTGATGAATAAAAGTGCAGTCCCCGCCACTCTTTGAAAGCAAGTGCTCTAATAAAGAAAGAAACACCTTTAAGGATATAGTTTGTTGCTGTCTTTGAAAACCAACAGCAAAGGTAGGAAAACAGAAATGTATTAACATGGTACTAAGTAAGACTAATAAAGGTTCAATATATTTTGATACTAAAGCAGACATATTTTGGAGTTAAATGACTGAAAATTATTATTAATTTGTACACTGAATGGTTAGCTTTTAAAGGTGTAGTTTTTATCCAAAGAGGTCAAGAAAATCACATAAATATATTGTTTTAAAATGATTCTTCCACTTTAAAGGTTCTTCTATCTTTTGTCCACTAGAGCTCAACAAATACCCTTAAATAATTTATTTGTCATTATTGAATTAATTTTCAAGTGATTGTTCTATGATACTCCCTCTTCAAAGTTATTCATCTTAGTTAAGAGGCAAAAGGTAAATACTTAAGAATATCATAAAGTAATACCATAAAATTTTTAAGAAACTGATGTAATAAGTTTTACATATTCATTTCATAATCTTCCCCTTTGAGTCACTTAATCTGTACCTCATACAGTATTAAAACATTAAATTGTTTATCTCTGCCCAAATGATCAAAATCAGTGCCTATTCATTTCAAAGTAAGAGCTTGGTAAATGGTTTTGCTCAAGTCAAACAGAATGTATTTTTCATTTAAAAAAATGGATGGAGACAATAAAAACCTAACATTAGCGGTTAAATAAAAGTTCCACTCCTTTTCTTACAATAATCTTTATTGTGATTTAAAGAGTTACTTCTGAATCTGGATAATGTCCTTTAACACGTATTTATATCTTTCAAAACTACCAAATCGATTTTGGAAGTTAAAGTGTTAAAAACATACTCTGACATAATGACTACTTGGAAAGTGTGAAAGCATTAGAATCTGTCAAAGGGGACACATGAGTTGGCACCACTCTCCCTATAAAAGCCTCCTTCCCCTTTCCTCCACCTCAAGCCACGTTACTCTTCGATCGTCTCAACTTTGCATGACAGGCAGACACCACCTACTCCGAACATGCCTTATCTCTCTTTATATCCTTCCTGTTAGCTATCTTCTCTAATTCTATACTAAAATCTATCATTATGCTTTAGTAAGTTACAAGGTGTGCAGAGCCCCCCATCTATCATCACAATCAGTGTAAGACAAAAACATGTAGGGAAAAGGTTGATAAAACTTGTGCTTCGGAGAGACCAATGCATTACATACCTAGAATACTATATAGAGATACAATATAGCCTCAAAAATAAAAAAAATACTAACTGCAACATAAATTTTAAATTAAAAAAACTAATAAATAAGAATTTGACAACTGGAGCCAGAAAAAGCAAAACAGGAGCCCTCAGTATAATAGTAATTGCCAAGATAGAAAGTTGTTTTTCATAAATCCTATTTTAGATACGGTAACACTTTCAAAACTCAAACTATATCACCATGTTATATACATAAAGTCATTTGGAACGAAATTTTAACTTAGCTAAAGGACTTTACAAAACATATTTGAAACATATTTCAGACTAATATCAAAGGACTTAAGATGACATTTATTAAAGAGGGACATCCCACTATTACTTACAAAGCTAACAATCACACTTTGAACTCTACATTAAAATATTTACTAAACTGGTTTAGATAAAATCCAAGATTAATATAAAAAGATACAAAACAACTCTAATTAAAATACATTTTATTTATATATATGAGTTTCCTATGGATTTTTATTTATATACCTATGCTATCCAATACAATAGCCATTAGCTACTGTAGTTACTGAACCCTTCATAAGTGGCTAGCTCTAACTGAGATGTCCTAAGCATAAAACAAATGTACAATGATTTCAATGAATTAGTAAGAAAATTGTAATATGAAATATTTCATTAATAATTTATTAATCATTTTAATATTTATTAACATTGAAGTAATATTTTAGATGCTATAGGCAAAATATTTGAATTTGTTTTGTTTATATATATATATTATAGAGATGGGATCTTGCTATGTTGTCTGGGATCAAGTGCAGTAGTTATTCACAGGTGTGACTGCAGAGCACTATAACCTCAAACTCATGGCCTTAAGGGGTCCTCCCACCTTAGCCTCCCAAGTAACTGGGACAACAGGCATGTACCACTGCACCCAGCTTTTTATATTTTTAATGTGTGTGATGGTTAATACTGAGTGTCAACTTGAATGGATTGAAGGATACAAAGTATTAATCCTGGGTGTGTCTGTGAGGGTGTTGCCAAAGGAGATTAACATTTGAGTCAGTGGGCTGGGAAAGGCAGACCTACCCTTAATCTGGGTGAGCACACTCTAATCAGCTGCCAGTGGGGCTAGAATATAAGCAGGCAGAAAAATGTGAAAAGAGAGACTGGCCTAGCCTCCCAGCCTACATCTTTCTTCTGTGCTGGATGCTTCCTGTCCTTGAACATCAGACTCCAAGTTCTTCAGTTTTGGAACTCGGACTGGCTCTCCTTGCTCCTCAGCTTGAAGATGGCCTATGTGGGACTTTGTGATCATGTCAGTTAATACTTAATAAACTCCCCTTTATATATATAATATATATATTCCATTAGTTCTGTCCCTCTAGAGAACTCTGACTAATACAATGTGGCCGCCAGAATTTTTTTAAATTAAAAGACAGGGTCTTACTCTATTGTCCAGGCTGGAGTACAGTGGTACAATCATAGTTCATTGCAACCTTGAATTCCTGGGCTCAAGGGATCCTCCCTCCTCAGCTTCCCAACTATCTAGGACTACAGATGTGTACGATCGCACTTGGCTAATTTTTAAATTTTGTGTAGAGACAGAGGTCTCACTATGTTGCCCATGCTGGTCTCAAACTAATGGCCTCAAGTAGTCTTCCCTGCTTAGCCTCCCAAAGTGCTGGGATTATAGGCACATGATACCACACCTCACTAATTTTAAAAAAAAAAAAAAGCAAGTAATCTTTTTATAGATGGGGTCTCACTATATTGCCCAGGCAGCTTTCGAGCTTTTGGGCTCAAACAATTCTCCCTCGCTGGGATTACAGGAGCAAGCTACTTTGCCCAGCAGAACATTTAAAATTATGTATATGGCTCTCATTATGTTAATTTTTTATTTTTTTGACAGGTCTCACTCTGTCACCCAGGCTGAGTACAGTGACGTGATCACGACTCACTGCAGCCTTGACCTCCCAGGATTAACTGATTCTCCCATCTAGCCTCCTGAGGAGCTGGGTCTCAGGTGCACACCACTATGCCCAGTTAATTTTTAATTTTTTTATAGAGACGAGGTCTCACTATGTTGCTCAAGCTGGCCTTGAACTCCTGGACACAAGCAATTCTTCCACTTTGGCCTCCCAAAGTGCTGGGATTATAGGTGTGATCCACCACACCCAGTCTTATGTTTATTTCGGACAACACTGTCCTTTACTCTCTAAGATATATTCAGATTATGCTTATTAGATAAGACACACAAAAAATTTACAGTACAAAACCTGTGCTTTTAGTAGCTACATTATATTTAATTTTTAAAATGGGATTCACTGAAAGTATTATTAATTTTAACATTTTCAGATATTTAAAAATATTCTCTTACAACTATACTTGGCTCTCTATTATTTAAAGAGTAATTTAGTTAAAATTATATAATATGGTTATGGACACTGGTAATACTGGGATACTTGATAATTGGTTCATTATTATATTACAAGTGATTCAGAATGGAATTAAGTGCCATCTTATTCCAAAGTCCACTCTTACCTAAGTTTTGGTGCATATCCAGAAATTTATCACTTGGTTTCTTTTAAAATATTCTATTAGTCACTATCATACTACTCAGTATATCACCACCAAAAAAGCAAGCACACAAATAAGGAAAAAATAATTATAGTAGGGAGTTACCTTTAAGTATCTAAAATATTTATTCTTAAAATCAAGGAGTCTTTAACAATTATATTAATACAATATGAAAGCAGTCTACTATTATTTTCATCTGAATCAATTGGAACTGTAAAAACATGAAGCAGTAATTTGACAACTCTCTAAATAGTATAAAGATGGCTCCATGTACATAAATGATTCTCTTAATTGAAGGAATGAATAGCAGTTTCCCAGCTTGGGTTAATACTAACATTATTAATATATATAAGAGGGTGATGACTGATTGACTGCTTTTTTCTTTTTTTTCTTTTTGAGACAGGAGTCTCACTCTGTTGCCCAGGTTGGAGTGTAGTAGCACAATCTGGGCTCATTGCAACCTCTGCCTCCCAGATTCAAGCGATTCTCCTGCCTCAGCCTCCTGAGTAGCTGGGATTACAGTAGCATGCCACCACGCCCAGCTAATTTTTCTATTTTTTTGTAGAGACAGGGTTTCACCAAGTTTTCCAGACCCTGGTGGTCTTGAACTGACCTCAAGTGATCCACCCGCCTTGGCCTCCTAAAGTGCTGGGATTATAGGTGTAAGTCACTGTGCCAGACATGATTTTGCTTTTTTGAGACAGGGTCTCACTCCCATTGCCTGCAGTGGCGTGATCTCAGCTCACTGCAGCCTTGACCTCCTGGGCGCAAGTGATCCTCCCACCTCAGCCTCCTGAGTAGCTGGGATTACAGGCGTGTGGCCACCATGCATAGCTAATTTTTGTATTTTTTGTAGAGACAAAATTTCACCATGATGCCCAGGCTGGTCTGAAACTCCTGAGCTCAAGCAATCTGCTTAATCCCAATGAATATAAACTACACCTTTAAAAATTCTCAAATTTAAATTCAATCAAATTGGAATTTTAAAAAGTCCATGCATTTTACAAAACATACATAGAATAGTCAAACTGCAATGATTAATGAACATTTTTCTTGAGAGTTTCAAAATTCATTACATATGCAATATAAAGTTTTGACCTTGCAGCTAACATATACACAGTTACCTGAGCCTATACTGCCAGTTCTTGATTAAAAACTGACCAAACAAAACCAAACCAAAGCAGACCCAAAAAACTCACCTCCTAACTCTACCAGTTTGATTGCTGCCCAAGAACTATTATGATATCCCCTGATACATGGAGGAAAAAATATTTTTTCTTTTCTTTTCTTTCTTTCTTTTTTAAAAAAAAGACAAGGTCTCACTCTGCCACCCAGGCTGGAGTGCAGTGGCACAATTATGGCTCATGGCAGCCTCAACCTCCTGGGCTCAGCTGACCCTCCTACCTCAGCCTCCCGGGTAGTTGGGACTACAGGTGCACACCACAATGCCTGGCTAAGGAAAAAATATTTAATAAGTTCTGTGTATCAACTCTGATATCTTCCACTAACTTCTGTAGAAAACTGAGATGAAAGGCACATAGATTGGTAAACACAGAAAAGAGTTTTATTTCTACTGTACTCCAAGCACCTAGCGCAGGGTCTGGCACACAGTTGGTGCTCAATTAATGTTAGATGGAAGGGGAGAGAAGGAGGATGACTAGGGATCTTCAAGACTGAAGGATAACAGACGCCACTGGGTAAACAGTACCCCATGTAGTGACAGGAAAACCAATAGTGGTTTTATGTTTTTGGCAAGAGAGAACCCACGCTGTTCAGAAAGAAGGGTCACAGAACCAATAATTAATAAAAGATTTTTCTGATGGCAGAAAAAACTGACCTTGTTCTCTCTGATCAATGAAACAGATGGGATAAACAAAGTATTTTCTATGGCATGTCCAAGGGCTCAATAAGCTGTTAAATAAACTTGAACGTTTTAAATGGGGGTCAAGTATCCCTGAAAGCAGAACTTGATGAAATAAAGTGGTACTACAGCTCTTTGAAAAACAGAGTGGGGACAAAGAGCTATATTATATATCGCTAAAGTTGAACTTTATCATTTTCTTATTGGAGTAATTGAAATTTCCATATAACAAGGGATATCTAAGAATTGATCACAGCATCAACGCTTACAAAATAAAGGAAAGCTTGATTTTTAAATGATGGGGTTCAATGATCCATGAGAGCATGCTTTTCATTCCAAATACTTAAAACCCTGAACTCTTTATCCTGCTTAAAGACTAAAATGATATCATAATATATATATATATATATTTAAGTTTTTTACACTACCTTTTTCTGTGCTCCCATTTATTTTAGGTAAGAAGTCATCAACTTGTATCCCTAGGATTAAGACAGTATATCATTGCCTGATCAAAGAAAGTATTACTTTAAATATGGTCTCAAGTGTAACCATGGCATTCTGTATTCCTAAGATTAAGATTGTATAGAACATGTTAAATTTATTTTTACTAGAAGGGTTCAATTTGCCACTTTCTATTAATTCTGAGAAAAGACTACAACTGCTTAGTGGCCTTCCAATGAACCTTAAAAGAAAAGGGATCCTGCTGTTCATGTACTTTTCTTATTTAAATATCCCTGGGTAGAAGATCTCAGATGCAGAAATTTCACTCATCTCAAGGAAAACAATGGTGCCCACTGGTGGCAATCAAGCATATTTTTAAAGAAAATTTCCTAAAAGAGTATAGATACTTTATAACTAATACATAAAACATCCCTTAAAATACTCAATGTGAGACAGTAAACAAGGTCAAAAGTTTAAGGATAAAATTCAGGTTTAAGTAAGAAATTTGGATGACACCTACCTAAGCTGCTGCATTCTTTAAGAGCTTTCTCCTGAAGATGTTCTAACCGTACTGTAAATATTAAGTCCAAAAAAAAAAAAAAAAAGATATTTCACAGATAAAAAGAAAAAAAATAAAATAAAATCGATTTCTGGATTAGCTAACTTACCTTGTAAAGCTGTTAGCCTTTCATTGGTGAAATCATTATCAGCTTGCAAAGCTTCTATTTTTGCCTGGAGCTCCTGTTCTTTTTCTTCCATTTCATCTATTTTATGTTGTAATTCTTTTTTCTCAGCCTGTCCTTTCTGTTGGATTTCCTCTTGTTTTCCCTCTGCTACCTAGAGAAATAAGAAAATTCAGTTATTTAACAAACCTAACTTTGTTTTAAGAGTCCTAAGCCAGGAATGCCTTTATTCACTTAAACTTCTAAGAGAAGTGTTCAATATTACAGAACATTATATGTAAACCTGACATTTCTTTCTTTCTTTTTTTTGAGACGGAGTTTCACTCTTGTTGCCCAGGCAACTTCCGCCTCCCAGGTTCAAGTGATTCTCCTTCTTCAGCCTCCCAAGTAGCTGGGATTACAGGCATGCGCCACCACACCCAGCTAATTTTGTATTTGTAGTAGAAACGGGGTTTCTTCATGTTGATCAGGCTGGTCTCGAACTCCTGACCTCAGGTGATCAGCCCACCTTTGCCTCCCAAAGTGCTGGGATTATAGGCATGAGCCACTGTGCCTGGCTAACCTGACATTTCTAAACCAGTAAAGATGATAAAGACAAAGGCTTGATGTCAAAAATTATTTGCATTGGGTTACTCCTCCATAACACCCAGGAGAGAGAAACTTGGAGGAAGCAAGTAGGCTCAGTACACACAGAGTAAAGGGTCAATGTGGAAAAAAAAAAATCATATTTTTAAAGACGAAAGTAAGATTTTTCCCCAAAATTACTATTATTTCAGTTTTTAAGTTCTATAATGTTAACATTCTGAAATTTTAAACAAAATTGTTCAGTAAAGAGATGACAGTACAATCACTATTCAAAAAGACCTCTGCCTATAGTTTGGATGTTTGTCCTCCAAGCCTCAACATTAAAATTTGATCCTCAATGTTGGAGATGGGGTCTAATGACAGGTGTTTGGGTTATGGGAGCAGATCCCTCATGAATGGCTTGGTGCTGTCCTCATGGTAATGAGTGAATTCTCACTCTATTAGTCCCATGAGAGCTGGTTGTTAAAAAAGAGCCTGGCACCTCTCCCAGACTCTCTCTCTTGCTTCCTCTCTCACCATGGCACACGTGCCAGCTCCACTTTGCCTTCTGCCATGAGTGGAAGCAGCCTGAAGCTTCAACCTGCAGAACTGTGACCCAAATAAACCTCTTATCTTTATAAATTACCCAGTCTCAGCTATTCCTTTATGGCAACACAAATGGACGACTACAATCTCCTTTTAACAAGACCAACCTTGAAAACTATCATAGGTTAACCAAAGGAGGTATGCTCTGGTCTTCTCTAACAAACACATATCTTCTAGGCACTCAATCCATGGTTTGAATTAAATCAAGATAGATCTTCACAAACAGTTATAAGATTTTTTTTTCTCAGTTATAAGATTCTAAAGGACCAACTAGACATTACTCTATCATTACCCTATGATCTGATCTGTCCTTATTCTAAATATCTCATAGGCATCTAAAGCAGAGTTAACAGCATCCCTGAAAGCTAAAAGGGAACAGATCATTCCCAGATTCTCTCTGGGCTTGTTCCAGCACAGCACTAAATAGCTGGGCCGTGCCTTTTAGATGGCCTAATGATACGCAGTTTTAGGTTTTAAAACATCTGAATATCATGGGGTTTGCCGATTCTCATCTACTTCCTGTTACATATTTTTAAAATGTCTATTGTGAAGCACTGACTACATATTCATCCAGAGGAACTATGTCAGCATTTACAGGCTTTCAATTATCTATAGTAATGGAGGTTGGGCTAAATGGAATACAGATACCTTCTTTTCACTATAAATTTCAACTGTTATCAAATTTTTACATCAATAACTATTCAGCAATACCTAAAATCTTTTATAGAACTCTTATTTAATATGTAGTACCACCTACATCTTGCTTTCATACTTTCAGCATAATTTAACACATTCAAGGAGACTATGCAAATCAATTCAAAATAGCTATCTATACCAACGGTTTTCAAACTTTTTTTTTGTGAGACGAAGTCTTGCTCTGTTGCCAGGCTGGAATGCAGTGGCGCAATCTCAGCTCACTGAAACCTCTGCTTCCCGGGTTCAAGTGATTCTCCTGCCTTAGACTCCCAAGGAGCTGGGAATATGGGCGCATGCCCAGCTAATTTTTGCATTTTTAGTAGAGACAGGGTTTCACTATGTTGGCCAGGATGGTCTCAATCTCTTGACCTCATGATCTGCCTGCTTCCGCCTCCCAAAGTGCTGGGATTACAGGCATGAGCCACTGCACCCAGCCCAAACTGTTTTTTGTTTGTTTATTTTTCCTTTGAGATGGAGTATCGCTCTGTCGCTCAGGCTGGAGTGCAGTGACATGATCTTGGCTCGCTGCAACCTCTGTCTCCTGTGTTCAAGCAATTCTCCCACCTCAGCCTCCCGAGAAGCTGGGATTACAGGCGACCACCACCATGCCTAGCTAAAGCAATACCTAAAACCTTAAGCTATCCAGTATTTAGGGATTATTAGCTTAACATACTTTCAGGCAGAGTAAATACATACCTTTAATTTATCAGATAAATCTTTAATCTCATTAACTGCTCCATTATATTTATTGGCTAATTCTCTTAATTCTTCCTGAGTCCTTTCATTCATTTCTTTCAGATGGGTACATTCATCTTCAGTATTACTCAGACTTCGCTGCGATTCAAGTTGACAGGCAATTTAATTAGAATAAGTGTATATTTGTTATTTAGAATTCCTTCTAAATTAAATTTATAAAAAGTATAATTCTATGGACTATTCTAAATCAACATCTGCCCTGGACTTTATAAAGCTGAGTTAAAGAATTTCAATTTACTTCAGGTATACACTAAAACAGAAAACGTAACTAAGAATTAACAACAACAACAAAAAAGAAAAGTGGAGGGAGAGTAGGGGCAGGAAAAGGATGCTGCCATTATATAATTACATTTTTGAAAGGCCAATGGGTATGACTTTTAGCTGTGAAAATATTTTAGCCTATCAATCCTTGAAAGCAAGTTTAATAATATCCAGCAATTAATTTAATAAAAAATTAAAAGACAATTAGTAACTTTCTTTCTTTATATGTCAAATTAATCACACAACAGTGAATCAGGCACTATGGGATGAGGTAGCAATACAAACTACACCTGTAGTAAGGAAAGGTATGTTTACCATTTAGTTTCTGATGAGCATTTTAACTACTTCTAGTAATACATTATGTATGTGGTAATTTTGCATTGGTTCAAAGAAATGATCTATATTATGAATTAAGAGTTTTTGCACCCAAAGCAATAAAAATTGCATTTTCATTGTTCCTTAAAGACCTAGAAAGGACCTTGGAGATGAATTCACCTTTAAACTTCCTAAATATACGACACAGCTAGTTTTCCTCTCTGGAGAGTGAATAAAAAAAGAACAAGAAGTGTAGTCTCTTGGCCTTACACTGACCACCCTCAAATAGAAGCAAAGCAAAACCAAGTGACAGGAAATCAGTTCCCCAGCACATATCATGGTCTGCTGTATGGAGGGTGAATCCTAAGCAGAATGCAAACAGTAAGATTCCCTGGTTACGTTTTTATTTCCTCAGCCATTGACTAGGGAGCATAAGTACCAAAACTCACATGGTTATGTGGAGAATTCCTGTCAATGAAAGCAGCATAACTGTTCCTTCCCACCTGACAGACAGAAAATATTTCCTAACTATATAATAATACCCATGTTTAAAGTATACTGGAATGCTTGAGATTTTTTTAAACACTCATAATATTATTTAGTAATTTTTTTTAATTGAAATACCTCAACTTCTGAAAGTTTTCTAACCACTTCAATTTTCTCCTGAAGAACCCGCCTCAGGGACTCTTTGGCTGTTGTCTCATAGTTATGTTTATCCTCTTGTAATGCTATAAGTTCCTTTCGTAAACTATCTTCTGTTTGATTCTAGAATAAAATATATTTATAATTATAGACAAGTTATTTTTTTAAAGCATTTGTTTGAGAAAAATTAACACATTATGACATACTTTAAATTGTATATTAAGGTACCTCCAAACACAAATGATGCTGGCCCTGTATTAACTAAAGATGTATTTAAAAGTTGCATAAGTAAATTATGCCTTCATAAACATATTAATTTCCACTTCCTATAGAAAAAAAAGTTATAGGCAATTGAGAATTTCTCTAAAATATACAAAATTAATTACTCTTATATTTGTCATATTTTCTGCAAATTCCCATATTTACATTTGTAGGCAAAAATAATCAATTACCTTCAAAGGCACCAAGCATTTTAAAACAATGGTTAAAACAAAAATAAGCGTACCATAGGGAAAAGCAGACTTCATGTCTGGGGCAGGAAATGTACAAAATGAGCCTGAAACATCTTGTCTGAAATGACAGCATGAAGCTATCAATCTGAAAGACATTTACACAGACCAAAGATGGGATAATTCGAGCATCAATAAGAAAAATAGGCTGGCCGCAGTGGTTCAAGCCTGTAATCCCAGCACTTTGGGAGGCCGAGATGGGAGGACTGCATGAGCTCAGGAGTTCAAGACTAGCCTGGGCAACACAGTAAGATTCTGTCTCTAAAACAAGAAAAACAACTGCACCAGATTTAAATACATCAAATGTGTTTAAATCTAAGTGAAGGGACAAAACATTTCATGGCCAGTCTTTGGTAGATGAAAAAGAACCAATTCATTATTCTGAAATCTAATAAATAAGGGGAGAAAATCACTTATCTTGCTTTCCCCATAGAAAACATACCTCAGGGTTATTTAAATTTTTTTATTCCAATAGCTTTAGGGATACAAGCGGTTTTTGGTTACATGGATAAATTATGTAGTGTTGTTGTCTGGGGTTTTAATGCACTCATCACCTGAGTAGTGTATATTGTATTCAATAGGGAGTTTTTCATCCCTCACTCCCCTCTCACTTTCCCAACTTCTGAGTCTCCAATGTCCATCATACCACTCTGCATGCCTTTGCATAACTATAGCTTACCTTCTACTTATAAATGAGAACATTTGGTATTTGGTTTTTGACGCCAGAGTCACAAAAAACAATGGCCATTGTTTTTTCCTTTTTTTGTTTTTTTAGAGACAGGGTCTCTCTTTGTCACCAAGGCTGGAGTGCAGTTCTGCAAACATAACTCACTGTAATCACAAACTCCTGGGCTCAAGTGATCCTTCCACCTAAGCCTCCCAAGTAGCTAGGACTATAGGTATGTACCACCATGCTAAGCAAATATTTAATTTTTGGTAGAGACTGGGTTTTGCCATGTTGCCCATACTGGTCTCAAACTGCCCCCGCTTTTTTTTTTTTTTTTTTTTTTTTTTTTTTT